GGGCCTGGGCATGCGTGTTTCTCCCAGCTGGAGTCCTCCCTTCTGTCTTTCAGGGGCAGAGCGTGGACTGTGAGGGGCTCTTTGGAAACATGCAGATGGTGATTAGCTTCTCCAAGCAGCTGCTGTGCACCCTGGAGGCTGCGGAGGCCATTGGTATGGGGGGGTGCTCAGCTCACCTGCTGCCTCCCCGCCTTGGCCCTGCTGCCTGTCCCATGCCCAGCCACTGCAGCCAGGCCCTTGCCCCGGGAGAAGGCTCCGTGCCTGCTGGGTCTGTGCACTGGGACATGGGGGTTCCTACATTCCCCCCCCTCACCGCCTCCTGGGGCTCCCTCTGCCCTGAGTCCCCCTGGAAATTCCCTGGCGCACCTCAGCTCACCTGCTGCCTCCCCGCCTTGGCCCTGCTGCCTGTCCCATGCCCAGCCACTGCAGCCAGGCCCTTGCCCCGGGAGAAGGCTCCGTGCCTGCTGGGTCTGTGCACTGGGACATGGGGGTTCCTACATTCCCCCCCCTCACCGCCTCCTGGGGCTCCCTCTGCCCTGAGTCCCCCTGGAAATTCCCTGGCGCACCTCAGGGTGTCCCCCCCAGCCCGTCCCCGGCCCCCCCGCCAGCCCCCTGGCCTGGTCTGGTCCTGGCAAAGCCTCAGGGCTGCTCGGTGCCTGCATCCCTCCTGGCCTTGTGCCTCCTGTGTGGCTGGCTGCCCTGGAGCATTGTGCCAGAGGCAGCTTCTCTGCTCCAGAGACCCCTCTGCCTTGCTGGAGCTCGACTCTCTGGCATCCCCCGAGTTCTCAGGAGCACAGCTCCGTCCCGGTGGCCGGGTCCCATGAGCTGCCTGCGCTTGGAGCCAAGGGCAGGATGGCTGGAGGGGGCCGTGTGGGGCCTGTGGAGCCCAGAGCCATTTTGCCCCACGAGACGTTCTGTTCACCGCTGCCACGCACGGGGTGGCCAGACTCCGCCGGCTTCCGCTGCCTCAGTTTCCCTGCCGCTGGTGCTAGAGGGAGACGCCACTGCACCCTGCGCTGATGGTGAGGGCTGTGTGCCCCCTCTGCCGCCAGTCACAGCGTGGCTACGGGTCCATTGGCACCGCCCACACGCTCTAGGGACGCACGCGCAGTGAGCCAACCCCCCATCGCCGTGGTCACGGCCATCTTGCAGCCGGGAGGGAGGAGGCCGCTGGCTGGCCCAGGGCTGCTTACGTGTGCTGTGACACCGAGGGAATGGCCAGGCAGGCGGGAGCCGACCCTGCTGACTCCCCGCCCTCCCCATGTGTGTGAAAACCCCGTTCCGTGTGCTGTGACACCGAGGGAATGGCCAGGCAGGCGGGAGCCGACCCTGCTGACTCCCCGCCCTCCCCATGTGTGTGAAAACCCCGTTCCGTGTGCTGTGACACCGAGGGAATGGCCAGGCAGGCGGGAGCCGACCCTGCTGACTCCCCGCCCTCCCCATGTGTGTGAAAACCCTGTTCCGTGTGCTGTGACACTGAGGGAATGGCCAGGCAGGCGGGAGCCGACCCTGCTGACTCCCCGCCCTCCCCATGTGTGTGAAAACCCCGTTCCGTGTGCTGTGACACCGAGGGAATGGCCAGGCAGGCGGGAGCCGACCCTGCTGACTCCCCGCCCTCCCCATGTGTGTGAAAACCCCGTTCCGTGTGCTGTGACACCGAGGGAATGGCCAGGCAGGCGGGAGCCGACCCTGCTGACTCCCCGCCCTCCCCATGTGTGTGAAAACCCCGTTCCGTGTGCTGTGACACCGAGGGAATGGCCAGGCAGGCGGGAGCCGACCCTGCTGACTCCCCGCCCTCCCCATGTGTGTGAAAACCCCGTTCCGTGTGCTGTGACACCGAGGGAATGGCCAGGCAGGCGGGAGCCGACCCTGCTGACTCCCCGCCCTCCCCATGTGTGTGAAAACCTCCGCTCCGCAGGGCCGGCGTTCCTGGAGCACCGGGCCGGGCTGGAGGAGGTGTACAAAGTGTATTGCCAGAACCACGATGAGGCCATTGCGCTGCTGGAGGCCTACGAGAAGGACGAGAGGGTCCAGAAACACCTGCTGGACTCCCTGGAGAGCCTGAGGTGAGAGCCTGCCCCGCCCCGCCCCACCCATTTACATCTGACC